ATCTATCATGTGACTATTGGGAGACGGTCCCTCCAAGCCTAAACTCAGACTCAAAAGCAACTCAGCAAAAACCGACTTAAAGACTGACTCACATAAGCTTTTTAACAACCCTACCCCAAACCATAATAGAATTTCGACCACTTTTAACGGTTGTTTGTGTGCAATTTGGATCATAAAGCTCATCTTTATGACATCAAACACGAACTTTTTCCATATGAATCGACGCTGACGGAGGATTAATCAATCCAAAGAATGCGTCGCCAATCTTCTTTAGTCCAATTTTTGTGATTTTAGCACAGTTTAACCGTTTGATATTATTTGTTTCATTCATTCATGGTTTTTTACGTGTACCATTTTTCTTTAAACTTCTTATCAGGGGTACGTGGAGATATGTTACTAGATGAGATTTTAGTGGCAAGCGGGCGTTTTGGCACTCTCATTGGATTTGCATTAATTTTTCGAAGAATTCAATTAATTTTTGGTCACTATTCTTTCTTTCAAATAACCACAAGTTTGGGTCGATTTTATTCGTTTAATACAGTTTTTGACACTAGTAGCTGATCGTTAAAGGACGCATGCAATTTTTGCAGCAGACATGTCTTGTTTCTTGAGTACGTATTTCGACAGCGCGGCATGCTCCGTTAGTAAGATCTTTGTTGCAACCAATTTGTATATACAATTTGAATTTTTGAGATTTATTGTGCTTAAATAGTAAATTGAACAAAAACGAACATCTTTTGTTAGCAGACATGCAGGTTCAATTTTATACTGCTATATACGTACCGCGACATACCGATACTAAACCTTTTTACGATCGTCAAATTTCTTGTCACCCCCTCTGTTCATGAGTTATGTACGTGTGTTTTTTTAATAAGCATTATCATTACGTATTCTGCCTCAATGAATACAAATGTTTTTATGGATGTTGCTCAACATATTTTTTGTCTTTGTCTTACCATCAAATAATGACATCACACGTATACAGCCATAGAATTTGTAAATAATGCAAATTTACTGTTACAATAAGTCAAATAATGACATCACCTGTATACAGCCATAGCATTTGTAAATAATGCAAATTTACTGTTACTATTACGATAAGTCAAATAATGACATCAAGCGTATACAGAACTTGAATTTGTAAATAATGCAAAGTTTGTATTTTTGGGTTTTGTTAGAATTTAATTGGTTAATGTTTTAAGATTATAATGTACATGTATTACCACTATAATAGTAAGTTATCACCATAAGAGTTGTAACAGATATTACGTAATATCCTAGGAGGAGGGTACTGACAGTGTCTTATGTCTTCTGTAATATATAGAGTCACATCTTACCTGCGGGGAGGAGGGTGTGCTCAATAATAAATTTATATTACGTAATATATGTCACGGTCCTAATTTATTAATAATATTTTAAAAAATACAGTAAGAAACGCAATTAGTTGAATTGATAATATCCATTTCAAATGTTAATAGCAACAAATAATTTAGATAAAAATTTTTGGTTTATTATTTATTTTTAGATTCGTGTCTTACGTATATTGATTTTCGTCTGATAAATGCTTTCTGTTGGTTCATTATCGTTATCTATAAAAAAAATCTTAAGTTCGAAATCTCAGAGGTCTTTTTAACAAGATTCTAGATTTACAAAAATTACTTTTTTGTTCGACTCAGCATTAGATAAGCTTATCGTTATGTTGAAAGTGAATCTATCCTAAATTGATTTATAAATCCAGAAAATCGATTTTAAATTTACTAAAGTCGTTAATTTACGTGAATTTTCGCTTGGAATTTATTTTCATTATATTTGCTTTATTTTATTATAATCTAAATGAGTTTATATTATATAAACTGTAAAAAAATTTTTGCTTATTTAGAATTTAATATGCACCATACAAGACCGCCCAAAAAATTTAATCTATTAATTTATTAATAAAAATTCGACGAAATTGCACCGTAAATCTTGCTTCATTTATATCGCAGAAAAATAATTAGTTCTAAAAAAAATTGGAATAAAATCAAGGTTTAAATTTTTTACAAAAGAGGGTCCTTTATGGAGCGTTTTACTGAATCAAAGACATAAAACAAAAAAATAGTCAGTCCCCCTAACAACGACGTCACTTTAAATTGTTCGTTATAATTAAAGAGTTTGATTTTTTTGTCGTTTGGGAAAATGACCAAGTTTAATTATTTCTTTTATAGAACTAAAATAACATCAAACTAAGTTATAGTGTCAAAAAAAGAAATTGTCAGAATTCTTTGCACCCGCTTTATTTTTCAAATAGCTAAGAAAAGCACTTGTTAGCGAACTTTGCATTGCATACAATGTTGAAATTCATTTATATGCACAAAATTTCCCTGTTTCTAAAATCCATGGAAAAACTTAACCAAGTTTCCGCACGTTGAAAAATATAATATGCACACAAAAAATCTGCAGCAAAATGTTCGAAGAAAATACCTGCGCAACCAGTCTCCCATTCACAGTGTGCAGATTGTGTCATATCTAAATTATGAATTTCGATGATAACTTCTGCGAATTTATTTCTTACATTTTACCTGCAAATTCTAAAAGCTCCAGTTTGCCGTAAAACGCCGTGTAAATCACTCGTCGCTCTGTAGAAAATTCATATTTTAATTTAAAAATCATCGGTCTTAACTAATAAAATTTTTATTGGTACATGTATTTACTGTACGTATACTAATACGTGTAATTTACGTAATCAAATGACCATTGTTCATAATCTATCGCTATGCGACATGTCATTGATGTCGTGATTGCGCAGATCAATTTTAAATACATATTATCATGCTGGTTCCAAGACGATGCATTAAACGAAATGTGATTGTTATTCAATATACAGTCAGTTCTCTTAACGCATACTCTTGTAACTATATAGCACAAGAAAATGCATCCAAAAGGGGAGCGTGACTGTGACAAATTATAGAATTTTTTGATCACAATAATTTTTATAGAAAAAAAGGACACAAAGACAAAAATAAATACAAAGACAAATAGTGATACATGCATTGACTAAAAACTAGACATACAATACTTTCTCTTGGCAAAATATATGTTCTTTGTGTTAATATTGTGGTAATCAGATTTTCTCATCCAGATACTAATCAAATTCTATAATGCAGCTAACTTCTCATAACGCTATTTCTTACAAATATGGAGTAAAGGTTTTAATAACCCCCAACTTGTACGTACATACAGATGTTGTGTGTAAACGAGAAATCATCACCAAAATCGATTATTTATTTGCTTCTATCGCTATAAAGAGATCCAGCAGTTAGCATATACGTAGTTATCGATTAGTTAATAGGATATCTTGCTTTTCCTCTCGGATATTAAAAGTAAAAGCATTACAAGTAAAATTAAATGCTAATACGTAGGAGTTAATTAAATTCTAATTAAAAAAAACTTCATATTACGTATTTTGTAAATAACTGATATTTCTACTAATTCCCTTTATTCTTTTGTTAGATTGCAAAAACTAGTATATTACAATAATTTTAATATAAAATTAAGTCAAGTTATTATTAATATTAGGTAAATTTTGAATAAAAAATATTTTATATAAGCATTATAGGTACGTATTAATGATATTACGATCCGATCATCTCAAGATGGATATTCAATTTCCCCTTAACGTTAAGTCTCTTTGGTTGATATACATAATTTGGATGGGCAATCTCGTGTTGATTTTTTCTATGGGCAGCTTCTTTATGCCAATAAAATTTTACTTCTTCTGATTCATCTTTCCACATTTTCGATAATATTTGGGAAATTCTAGCATTTGAAATTTTCCCATATTTCTGAGTTACTGATGATTGATTAGCACGTCGATACAAAATAAAGGCATTTGGAGGTCTTGGGATTCGCTCGTTTGCTTGCTCTTGTTCGTTTATTATCGATTCGACTGTGCAATTTAAGGTGGATTGCTCATAATTGAGTAAATTTTCGATTTTTCTATATGGAGAAGGTGATGGATGAGTTGCCATTACATTCTTAGTGATCAATTCATGATCGTTATGAGTTTCTTGTGTTGATGACGACGAAAAATGTGAATTTGAGGGTTTCTTGATTTCAAAAAAAGACGTGAAGATGAAATTATTCCCATTGAGGCCAGCAGATTCTAATGATGTTGCAGAATCAATCATTAATGGCGGTCCGTTATTATGATTTCGATCATGATTATTTAATGTATTCTTATCTTTTTGAAAAGATAAGCATTTTGGATCGATGTCAAGCGCCAAAATCTGACAATACTTTTTCCTTGTTACTTGATCCATTTTTTATTAGATTAATTTGTGGGGAATTAGATAAAAAAAATAGAGCGATGTGTAGGATTTTATTCTTCTGTTGTAGTTTTAAAGACAAAATGTGAACTAAAAATCAATGTAATTTAATTTTGAAGTTTCAAATCTCATTTTATTTTTGTAGTTTATAAAATTTTTTTCCTATTATAAGATAAAAATAAAAGAAGACAAGAAGACAGAAAATAAAACAGTCTAGATTTTATAGAACTTTTAAATTCTATTACTTTTTCCTTTTATGCTATCTCTGCGTCTGTGTAATGAAATGAATAAAGTACAATGTATGAAAATGGAAAATCATGGTTTGCACTTACTAGATATCTAATTACATGTATTATTTATAGATGGTGCATTTATTCGTTTGATCATTTAGTCTCTCTAAGAGATAAAAAGCTTTTGTGAGAATTTTTAATTTTAAAGTTTCATTACGTTGCTGTTTCTTGTATCGGTAAAACAAAAATAGTGCTTGAATAGAATCAGGTTTTGTGAAAGTGTTTGTACATGTAGTATTTTTTGCGCCATTTTTCATATCGATGTTTCAAGGTTTTTTTTTATTTGTTTATGTAAATATTTGCAAATAAAAAGGTACTTTAAAAAAAAAATTCCCGATTATTAACTTTACAATGCACTTAGCGCGCACACCAAGTTACATCATAGAAGACCGCGTAACTAGAATTTTTATTTCAACAATAAATTCCGAAAGCATGCGTATGAAGTTTTACAATTTTAGCTTGTGCTTGACAAATTATAAATTTCAATAAATGCGACATACTTCCGTATTAAAAGCGCATGTTTCCTCTTCGTATTCGTATTCGAAGCACACATTTTGGCCATATGGCTTATCGTTGCCAAAGCAAACTGATACCGAGAAGTCTCCCTAAGTGTACTCCCATAGATATCATGCATCATAAAGAGTGTGCATTCAGAGAGCAGATTCAAAGGCTGGAAACTATATCTTAGGGAGAGTGTGCACTTATGGCGGGTGTACTTAGGGACATTATGACATTTAGTTTGATTTACGACATATCGTTGAATTTTTAACATGTCAAGCGATGTTACAATAACGGGAAACCATATTTAGTTAACGTTCATATAACGATTGATTGAAGACACGTATTCTTTATACATGTATATGCACGCATGTATCCTCATTATAAAAAAGTGCTTTTGAATTACATGTACCTAATGATGATCTTTTCCTTTTACCATTAATAAATCTAAAAACCGTTTTCGGATATTAATTATATTAATTGCATAAATTGAATCCCATTTATAAATTAATTTATCTTAGCGTTAGCGTTAGTGGTCAAAAAAAAGTAGCATGGTTATCGTTATTTATAACTATTATGTATATACGTAGTACATGTAGTAACAAATACGTATACTATTGGTCAAAAAAAGTGGTACGATATACGAACGTAGTATACTGTATGTCTAATACGTAATTATGCATACGTATATAGTAACACTGCTTGAAAATGATACGTATTTATAAAAGAAGCTTATAATCCTATGTATTATTATTTTTTTTCTGACCTCCAGCATGAAGTGTCTCGTTCGTCAAGGGTAATTTAGCCACTCCAGAAAATTTGTAAATACGAATGTGTATCTTTTTAATTGAATCACCCTCAAAATCTATATTTACATAAAATGTGCTCTTCTTGCTTCTTTGAAATATCCCTATCTGTCTTTTCTTCAATGACTATTATTTATTTTTAATAATATATAAAGGATTTATTCAAAGATAATACTATTATACAATATTTTTCTTTAAAAACCTGTGAATCATTTTTCTTTTCATCATAATCAATTAGAATAAAAAATTTAATTCGATATTGAATTTGCTGCTATGTGATACTGTCTACAACGTGACATCTAATAATTGGGAGTGACTTGAAAGGTAAAGCGATATATAACTCGAAGACAACAAAGTTTGGATCTACTGTTAAATTTCTGGTAGATTCTAAAATATTATTGTGATATGTTTTCAAACTAAAGAGAATAAAGATAAAATAATTATCTAATAGAAAATCTTGAGAGCTATCAAATAACTTGAAATAATCACAATTTTGCTGAGAAAAAGTAAAATTATAATATTTATAAATTGTAAAATAATTCTCAAAGCAAGAAATAGATTATAAATATTTAAAAGAAAGATAAATTCAAAAAATATCACAATTAATAATAATTTGATTAAACTTCTAAATTATATACAAAGTTTCTTATAAAATATAAAAAGTATATTTATTTTATACAATATATACAGTCAACACGGAAAGTAATGACGGACATGTTTTCGCCTATAACTTAATACATGTAATGAATTCATGAAAATTTGGCATTATATTCTTTAGAATGACGGAAACAAAATTTTTTAAGGTCACAAAGCGTGTTAACATAGTAATATTTTGTGAAATCACGTGCTAAATGTGGCGGGCTGGGATTATCCTGGTTAAAGAGCTATGTAAAATTATTTAAAAATATTTTTTATAAGCAAGTGTGAAAAAATTTTATAGAAATATATTTAAAATATAGAAAATATGTCTGCAATTTTAGAAAATTTTTAGTTGATATTTATTGAATAAATGTCAGTCAAAAAAAGGCTTAATTTTGATAAATTTTATAATAAAATATAGTAAAATTAGTAAAATATAATAAAAATAATATTTTTATTATATTTTATTATGAAATTTATCAAATTAAACCTTTTTTAACTGGCATTTATTCAATAATTATTAACTAAAAATTTTTCTAAAATTGCAGATATATTTTCTATATTTTTAAATATATTTCTATAAAATTTTTTCACACTTGTTTATAAAAATTATTTTTAAATAATTTTTTATAGCTCTTTAAGTAGGATAATCCCCAGCCTGTCACTTTTAACACATGCTTTTACAAAATATTACTATATTGACATGCTTTATAATCTTAGAAAATTTTGTTTTTGTCATTTTAAAGAATATAATACCAAAATTATTAAGTAATTTTATTTTATTAATAAATTACTTGTTCAATTTTTATAAATAGTATTTATTATTATATTATATTATAGATTAATAATTAATCTATTTTGTATTTTAATACTAATAAAAAATAATTTTTACAAAATTTTGTTTATAATAATAATAATTTTTATTTGTTATATAAATCTAACTCTAATTTTAAATATAATACTAATTGGAATTTTAATTAATATAATTTGTAACAAAAATTTTATATAATAAAATATAATATAAAAAATTAGTTAAAATATACAAAATTTTAAAATAATAAACTCAATTAATAAAATATAGTTAACTAATACTTTTAAATTTAATATTTTAATTAAATTATCTAAATTTTTTTAATCTCTTATTTTTCTTTCTACAGTTCTCATCAGAAAGTAATGACTAATAGTTTTTTTATTATAAAAATATTTTACATAATAATCCTTCCAAAAATTTTTATATCTGAAACGCATTTAGATAAGAAATATATCCATAAAAAAATCAATATTTGGTATACTCTCCTTTTGTATCAATGCAAGTCTAAATGTGATCTGATATACTAATAATATATTTAAAAACTATTTTATTAGAAATATTTTCTCACTCTCCTCTGCTAACATAACACAAATCTCTTATAATACACTTTATTTTTATCTTAATTCTTTTCTCAATATTTCATTTAAGAATAGTTTAAATATTCTCTATTGGATTAAGATTATATGATAACCAAATTAGAATACACTATTACAAGTCTCAGACTCTGATAAGTAATCTCATAATATGAGTATTCAACCAACATCTATTATAATTTCTCAGTTATTTTACTAACTTTGATCCAGTTATATTAGGATAAATGTGCAATACAACTTTTTCTATTTTAATAATAAAATAAGATTACTACTATTAATAAATATTTTTCTTTATATTTATTTAATATATTATTACTGTTTTGATAAAGCTTTGAAATATTCAAGAGTATTTATAATATTTAAAGAGAAAACTCAAATATCTTAATGACAATTCACAGTTTTAATAATACTTTATGACTTTAGACTGAATATAAGTTAAAGTACGATAAGTACTTATAAGAATCTCTTAAAGATTGATAATAATTGTATTCTTTTAACGCAATAACTGGACTGCTAAAAAGAGTTCTCAAAATCTCAATGTCAAATATAATATATATATTAAAAATATCTTTAAATCTTTTAAAGATCAAAATATAGAATATGATATTTATATTATTAGCAATACAAAATTAAAGATAAGTATATAAACAATATATTATTAGTAATACAAAGTCAAAGATAAGTTTATGAACAATATATATTATTAGCAATACAAAATCAAAGATAAGTTTATGAGTAATATATTATTAATAATACAATCCCAAAGACAAATTTATGAATTATAATAATAATTTCTTTATTTAATATAATATTCAATAGACTTTATCACAATATATTCAGAAAGTCTAAAATAAAAATAATAATTTTTATAACACTTCTGGCAATCTGCTTAAGTTACTATAATATATATTGATTCAAGATCTGTATAACTTCTTATAAAGTTATTATACAAGAAAATAAATACTTTGTCAAAAGAATGTAGAGAGAAATTTGCGCTTGACTACCTACTCTACATAAAGTGCAAGCTTTACTTCTTTGAATGATCAAAACTATGTAATAACTAATTAAATGTGATAATTGAGAATTACTATCTAAAAAAACTTGTTTATATCTAATTCTAATAACTATAATATATATTACTTTTATACATATTCAAACTATATTTCATCAGCTATACGAATTCATATTCACTAATTTTATTAGTTTCAGTATTTGCTTATTCGTTCACTCATTTATTCACTCATTCATTTAGTTATTCATTTGATCATTCACTTGTTCACTCGCTTGTTTGCTCACTTCATGTAATTTGATTTTTATTTAATAAGATATTAAATATTTTCACTATTGTGATATGTTA